ATATATATATAAAGGCACATAAGCGTATTATTTTTAATAAGAGATTTGCATCTTTGTGCATTACCATAAATTTAATGTAAGAGTTTTTAAATTCAGGTCTGTGTCCTTATTTTGAATGGAATTGTTTGTCTATGTCTATAGAATTCATGTTAAATTTTGGGTTTTTATGAAATCCTGTTTGTCTACATGTCAGCCTTGTGATAGACCGGCGACCTGTCCAGGGTTGAACCCCGCCTCTCACCCAGTATCAGCTGGGATTGGCTCCAACCCCACGCGACCCTATTCAGTATTAAGGGTTAAATTCTGTGTTTTGTCCATCTATGTGGCCAGATAGTCTTTGAGATTTTAAGTCATATTAAATTTGGGATTTTTAGTGCAGTTTTAGGTGAAATCCTCTTGTCATGACCGAGCGGAACTAATGTTCCTGCCTGTGTTTCCTGTCGGGTCAGGAACGTGGTTGCTCGCGGAAAACCTGTGCGAGATGGCGGTTGACACCGTGTAGCACTCTTTTGTATCCGCAGTGTTGGTTCTATTTCTGCCTTATTTTATCCCTGCTTCTGGCACGAGTTATGGAAGGAGGCAAACCGAGCCTGGCCCTGGTCTACCAGGCGGTCCAGGCCCTTTACCACGACCCTGACCCGGCCGGGAAGGAGCGAGCCTCGCTGTGGCTTGGAGAGCTCCAGAGATCGGTAAGAAAATGGGAGAGGCCGGTGGACCGGAGCAGGGAACCGACGGGGTGCTGGACGAAAGGGTCTGAGGTGGTTTTAATGTGGCCTGTGTGAACCGGTTTTTGATGGGTTACTTTAAAAAAAAAAAAAAAAAAAAAAAAGACCATTTGAACTGATGTGCGCATTCTCAGTAGAGCAGCAGGTTCTTGTTAGCATCACAGCTAAGTCCTGATAGTTAGCGAAATAAGCGGATCAAAACAAACTGTTATCTGTGAGTTCAGCTTCATTAGCTATCTGTTGTAAGTTCGATTAATACACAGAAACACCGCGGGTTTAATTAACGTTTTCTCTTGAAGGAACAGAATGTTGTTTCAGTCTCAGAGGATTTCAACAGGCCTGCTCTGCTGCACAGGGCTACTTCTGTTAGCACGTCTAATGTCAGTTATAGAATAAAGATTAGTCTCTGAATTAATGTAATTAGTTAAACTAGTTCAAGTTCGTGACTGCTGGTTCAGGTTGTCCTTTGGTTAGCTGGCAGCACGGGCCTATACCGGACCCCTTTCGTAAACCGTAGTTGTTATAGCGGCTCTTTGAGCCCACACCACCGTTAGAGGTCAGTAAACTGTCTCAGCTACATACTAGGAGTTAAAGTGTCAGTGATACCGTGGACTTTAACAGTGTGTTAATAATAATAATAATCAGAAATAATTGTCAGACAAGGGTTAATGTTAAAGGGAACTTCTCTGAGAGTCTCTGTCACAGGGCGTGGCAGGATCCCGGACCAACCTTTAGATCAGGGGTGTAATGAATTAGAAGAGGTGTTGTCTTCTCAGTGTGGGCCATTGCTCTTGTTTCATACTGTTACTATGGACTGACACAGATCAGTGTTTCTCAACCTGGGAGTCTGGACCCTCCAGGACTAGACTGGGGGGTGACCATGTGACCACCTGGGGGGTCATGAGGTTCAGGTTTAATTTGACAAACTGAACTTGGAACCTGGGCCACTAAAGATGCACTGACTTCACTTCCTGTCCTGTGCTGCAGATGTATGCATGGGAGATCTCAGATCAGCTGCTGCAGCTCAAACAAGATGTGGAGTCATGTTATTTTGCTGCTCAGACGATGAAGATGAAGATCCAGACCTCCTTCTATGAGCTTCCACCCGAGACCCACAATGCCTTGAGAGACTCTCTGCTGACCCACATCCAGAACCTCAAAGATCTGTCCCCCGTCATCGTCACTCAGGTAACACGGATCACCTGCTGCACCTGTCACCCATAAGGCCTTTAACACTGTAGGAACTGAGCCACCTTGAGAGTACTGAACTTTGAGGTTCACCTCCTGATCAGTCAGATTTATATTCATGAACTCATCTTTAAAGTTGACCTGAGACTAGAGGGACCCAGAGTGAATGAGAGACTAGATTCATGTTCGCAGTGTAAACAGTGCCTGTGGGGTGTTGACAGCATCAGTTTGTTACAGCAACATGCTGTGAAGTGTTATCAGTTTGTCTGGTTGGTTTCAACTCTGATCCATAAAAAATTACAGAACACTGACCAGTTAGGAGTGTTCCTCAGTCTTTATTGATCTGTGAGAAGTTAAATCAAACTAATGAACAAACAGAGGTGTTTGAACTGTTGGTCCTTGATGAACACTGAACATCTCTTTAAAGTCTCACACTCTGAATTTTGTAACAAACACAAAGTCATAGAAATTCGTAAGCATATGAACTGATGAACTTTAGGAGCAGGAAGTGTTTTTCCCCAAAATGTATAACCAGTGTACATAGTCTTATGTTCTGGTGGTGTTTCACATTTAAAAATGTGTCATGGGCTGTTGTGTGTCCTCTCAGTAGTCTTTGACTACAGGGCAGTAGCAGTAAACATGCCAAGGGTTTGCAGTGTGGTTTCCACAGGTTTCATAGGGAGGTTAATGACAGGGTGTAATAAAATACCATATCAGGTAACCCAAACCCTGTGAGCTTGTGCACTTCCATTGATCCTTCCATACTGTTGTGTATTCTTGCCTGCCTCCTCCTCCCATTTTATCCCAGTTCCATAGAATTCTGCTGCAGACAGCCGAAATGACTACAGACCCGTTGCTCTTACTCCCATTGTTACAAAGTGCTTGAGAGACTAGTACTGAGGCATATTAGAGCTAGCCTCCCTCCTGCCTTTGGCCCCTCTCAATTTGCATACAGGGCAAACAGATCCACAGAGATGCCATCGCTATAGCTCTCCACATGGCGCTAGAGCACCTAGAACACAGAGGGACCTATGGTTGGATGCTCTTTATTAATTACAGCTCCACCTTCAGCACCATTATACCAGGCATACTGATCAGGAAACTGCTACACCTGGACCTCCACACTCACCTCTGCACCTGGACTTTCTCACAAACCGCCCTCAATCTGTGAAGCTTGGCCCTAACCTCTCCTCCACCTTCACACTCAGCGCTGGTTCCCCACAGGGCTGTGTGCTGAGTCTGCTACTGTATTCTCTTTATACATATGACTATACACCAAACCATACCTCCCACTCTACTGTTGTACCAGATGATACAGCAGTGGTCGGACTAATCTCAGGAGGGGATGAGTCTGCCTATGGAGATGATATCCAAACAACCTGTCACTGCACACAAAGAAAACAAAAGAACTCATCTTGGACTTCAGGAAGTGCAGAGCTCACCCATCTCTATAAATGAAGACTGTGGAAGGAGTTCGCAGTTTCAAGTTCCTGGGAACCCACATAACAGACAACCTCTCCTGGTCCTCAAACACCATAGCTGCTGTTAAAAAAGGCGCAGCAGTGCCTGCACTTCCTGCGAGTCCTAGAGAAAAACAATATGTGTGAGAAGCTGCTGGTGGCCGTCTACCACTATGCAGTAGAGAGCATTTTAACTTGCTGCCCAACAGCGTGGTGTGCAGAATGCCCAGCAGCTGACAAAAAAGCATTGCAGAGGGTCATCAGCATGGCAGAGAAAACAATCGGCTGCCCTTACTCCAGGACACTGCAGACACCTGCAATTGCTCCAGAGCAAAGAGCGTTGTCAGACTCTTCTCGCCCTGGTCACCATCTGTCTGACCTTTTGCCCTCAGGGAGGTGATATCGGTCAATAAAGTTACAAATCTCCAGATTCATGAAGTTTCTTTCCCAAGGCCATCCACTCTCTGTCAACAAGTATAACGTCTCTAAAACCCTTGTAACGTTTTATTACTTGTCCAGTATTATCTTATAATGAAGCACTTTTCCTGTCCTTGTTGTATAAATGGTATGACATGTGTAATGCAGCTGCTTTTGTGTATATGAATGTGTTTTAAGCACCGCTGGGAGGGGCACTCTCCATTTCGTTGTATTCTGAATGCAATGACAGTAAAGGCTTCTTATCTTAACATATGAAGTGAAATGGTTTAACCCTTGTATAAAAGAGTTGATTCTGTCAGCAACAAGAAATCAAAAGAACCAACAGACACTTAAAATCTGGTTTCTGCCTTTTCTGTGTTGTATTTGTGGCTTAAATTGTTTTCTTGTTTATTCAAAGACAAATCATAATGAGCTTATCTCTTTTCTGTCTCAGCTGGCATTGGCGATCGCAGACCTGGCTCTTCAGATGGCCTCCTGGAAAGGATGTGTTCACACACTCATAGAAAAGTAAGAATTCACAACACTGTCTTGACCTTTTCTCACATACAGGATGTGTCGACGAGCTAGCAGATAATATTGATGTATTTGTTTGGGTCACAACAGATCAGACATTTAAATTGACTGCAAACGGAAAGATTAATAGTTTGTGCTGACAGGGTGAAGGCATTTGATGGATGTGTCCATAATACTGCAGTCAGGCATGTTTAAAAACTGCAGTATGTAGCTGTAATAATCAGGGCTGCAGTAAACCAGAGTGAGGTTTGACTAACACCTTTATACCAGATTGCAGCTGTCTGTAGGTGTGACTTACCTGTTCATGCCTCCTCTCAGGTACAACAATGACATCAGCTCGATGCCCTTCCTCATAGAGATCCTCACTGTGCTGCCTGAGGAAGTTCACAGCCGATCTCTACGAATCGGAGCCAATCGCAGAACAGAAATCATCGAAGATCTGGCTTTTTACTCCAGCACTGTGGTCACTCTACTGGTCTGTCTCACTCTGCCTTAATGGTTCCTGTCAGCACTCCTGCTGCTGATGGTTGTTAAATGTTTTACTCTGTGTCTGTCATTTTCGTGTGGATCTTTCCCTTTCCTGCTGTCAGTTTCAGATCCTTCAGGGGTTCCTTCATGAAAACAGTCTGCTGCTTACAGCTCAGTATAATGATTAAAGAACTGATTCAGCAAGACTTTGAAC